TGTTGCCTCCAGTTCTCGAAGTGTAAAAGGCACATTATACTGTTCTTCTCTGAGAGAAGAAAAGTCCAAGGGTGCTAACTCTCTGGCAGACTTTGAGGAAAGAAATGAGGGTCATAGATGGAGTCCCTGAGAAATATGGACCAGATGATTGCCAATTTCAATGGCAACATCTAGTGGGTTTGCTATATCAACACCGGCAACCCGCAGAACAGGAGCCGGGTCAGGAGAATATTTACCACTCAGTTTTCGTACTTTTTTCCAGACTGCACTCAGAGGAAGCAGAGGTGATGGTGGAGACATCATCTCGCCAGCAAGTGCGTTTAGCGCCACGGATGACACGGCGAGCGATCACACGCTTCTGCTTAAAATCAAGAAGTCTCTCTGTGGTTCTATTGTACCGGTACCTGCCCCATGCAGCACGTTTCAAACGTACTGCACGAGCACAAGCAGGAGACCACCAAGGCACGCATTTCTGAGAATGCCTGCCCGAAGTTTGGGGTATAGAATGAGAAGCTGCGGTTAAAACGGAGGACGAGAAGAGGTGTAAAAGCTCATCGATGGAGGACGAAGAAGGAACCTCTCTAAAAACAGTTAGGTATGAGGTTCCAATTTGCCTGATCAAATTGCCAGCGTGGGATGCGAAGAGGTGGTGAATATGAAGGGGAAGTAAGAATGATTGGGAAATGATCGCTGTCATGTAAGTCCGGAAGAACAGACCAAGTGAAGTCTAATGCGGCGGAGGAAGAGCAGACTGAGAGATCGATGTAAGAGAGAGTGCGAGTCCGAGGATCAAAATGGGTGTGAGTACCTATATTTAAAACATGGAGGGGGTGGGTGGCAAGAAAAGCCTCTAACTGAATGCCATGGGAATCACAGTGAGACCCCCCCCCCCCCCCGAGGAAATGGTGGGCATTAAAATCACCAAGTAACAGAATCGGTGGTGGTAATGACGAAACAAGAAAGGCAATATCCGGAATAGATAATGCCCGAGAAGGAGAGAGATATAAAGAACAGAGCGTATACCACCTATGCAAGTGGATACGGGCTGCTGTGTAATGCAGCGAAGTACGAACAAATAGCTGATGGTACGGAATATCAGTGCGTAGAAGAAGGGCACTTTCATTAAAGGTCCCATCAGGAAAAAGGATCTGAAGAATACAATAAATTATAGCCTGAGATGGGAGAGATAACAGCAGAGTGTAATTTTGGTTCCTGTAAGCAAACACCAACAGGGGAAAACTGGGAGAGTAACATCTGAAGCTCACCCTGATTACCCCTGAGGTCGCGTATATTCCACTGTAAATAGGCCATGATTGGCAATGATAAAGATACCTGAAATCCACAGGTAAGGGTTCCTACGGACTAGAGGGGTTAGAAAAGTCCACATGCGGAGGCAGTGGAAAACGTTCAAGCAGCGAAGGAACGGTGCGCTGTGAAGAAAGGAGTTGCGCAGATGGAGTAGAGGAGAGAGAAGGAGCGGAGGGTGGATCAGTGTCCATTGATGGTTTGGTCTCTGCAATATATTCAGAGATTGCTTCAAGTGTTTCAGAATTCAGAGACGTCATATGGGAGACAATATTGGAAATGGTAGGGGGAGGATGAGTAAAGATTGGAACTGTATTGGACTGTACCAAGGTAGGGGGGGCGAAAGGGTGGAGGGAACTGGAGAAGCGTGGAAGGGGACAGAAGAGGCAGAAACCTGGGAGGTGGCAGAAGAGGAAGAAACTTGGGAGGGAACAGGGGAGGAAGGTACAGTACGAGGAGGAGGGTGAACCTCTACACTTGTAACAGAGCCAGTGAGAGGGGGAGGACCAGGTACAGAGACAGGGAAGGGAAAATGAGGAGGTGGAAGATGGGTAGGAGGTGTTAACGGACCTTTTTTTGACTTTTGAGAAGTAGAGGGACGATTGGGAGGAGGTGTCATACGAGATCTCGTCGCTACCGAGGCTTGTGAGAGAGAACACGAAGAAGCGAGATCAGACTGAGACATTGAAGTAGGGATGTCTGAGCCGAGCACAGCAAAAGAATTAGCTACAGGAGTGACTATGGGAGAGGTAACCACAGAGGCGGGTGCAGAAGATGGGATACCAGAAGTGGGGGGACGTTTTGAAACACGGGAATAAGAAACACGAGGTAGTCTCCCTTGGAGGCGGAGATGAGAAACTGCCATGGCATAAGGGAGACCTTCTGCCTCTTTGAGGCAACGGATTTCCCGCTCGTTTAAGTAGACTTGACAACGGCGAGAGTACGAAGGGTGAGCCTCATGACAATTAAGGCAAGAGGGAGGTCGACTGCAAGACGTATTAGAATGGTCATCAGCACCACAGACTGGGCATTCAGCGATAGATCTGCAATATTTCGCTGGATGGCTAAATCGCCAGCAATTTCTACACTGTTGCGGTGTAGGGATCACCTTTCGAACTTGTAACCGATGTCCTGCTACATAAACTGAGGATGGGAGTTCACGGCTGTCAAAAGTTAAACGAGCCACATTGCTAGGGTATCGTCTCCGCCCGTGGGCAGGAAGAACGTAAGTGTCTACCTTGAGGATTGGGAGATCTTGGAGTTCCAGCTGTTCAAGAATGTCAGTGCCACATGTCTGGAAATTTGTTGAACTATGGTATGGGGCAGAATGACGGTACCACTACAAGAATTGAGGGAATGATGCTTTTCAATAGTACAGGAACATATCGATATGGGAAAGACGAGAAAGCTCATGAGCCTGGGTAGCATTCTGTACGGTGACGATGCACGTACCGCTCTTAAGAGCATGAAAAGAAATATCTTTACCAACATGGCGTAGGAGTGCCTTGCCAATACTGTGGTCAGAAAGATAGGCAGTAGAGGAAGTCGGTTGTAAAGTGAAGAATTTAGTCCATTGTGCAGTCTGAAACCGAGCGTGGAAAGGTAGTGAAGGACGTGTCGATCTTTTCTGAGAAGAACGAGAAGGTGGAGAAGTATCATCAGCAGGTAATTGTCATTGGCGTTTAGGCGTGGGACCAGAGTTGGTCTGACGTGGAACGGGCCGGCGATTCGAAAATTGCCGCACCGTAGAGGGAGAGGCCGGAAGCATAGTCAGAAGAGAGCGAAGGTCAGATAAATTGAAGGAGTCAGTCGAGGCCTCAGTACCTGAAGCGGGTGAGGAAACAGCACCGGCAAGAGGTACAGATGCATGAGGAGTGTCCGAAGAGTGGTCCAAAGACGAGGCGGGGTCAGAATGGGGTGCGGTATCAAGAAGGGGCCCGGGGGTAGCAGGTTCATGGACTAGGGCTGCCATGGTTAGGTTACTTCTTTCTTTTTGTTTTTAAGAAAAAAAAAGAAAGAAGAAAAGAAAATAAAAATAAAAAAAAAAAAGAATAAAAAAAGGGGGGACCGGGGAGGGATAGTTTCCTAGAGGAATGAAAGGGCCAGAAATCTCCCTCCGCGCCCAAGAGGACCTCAGCACCGCAAGTAGCACAGATGCAGCATGGAATCCGTGCCATACCCTACCCATCATGCCAGTAAACCGGCAATCCGGGATAGCAACCTCACATCTGCCGAGCTACCTCAGTGGACAAAAGAGAGGGCGGCCAGAAATCCGCCACAAAGCATACCTCCTTCGGCCACCACCCCCGGAATCCGAAAGGTGGCTTCCAGAGATACACCCGTCGCCCGAGAGACACCCAAAGCCACCCTCCGGGATACCAGAGAGGGATCAGGACATCCCCAGGCAATCCAGATTCCACGGCAAACTACGCCACCGCCAAGAACCTCAACGGAATGGGATGGACCCCGGTACCCTTTCCCCTACCTAGGAACTAGCATGCCCATGGGAGAAAAAAAAAAAAAAAAAGGGCCAAAAAGGAAGGGCAAAAGGGAGGGGTGGGGAGGAGGAGGAGGAAAAGAAAAAGGGGAGGATGGGATAGGGAATGGGGGATTGGGGGGTAATTAGGTTCGGTCTGAGGAAGTAGACCGACAGGTCTAATTCCTCAGACCAAGAGCCTCTTCACCACGCCAAGGAGCCCCCCTTGAAGAGGCACTGAGTACATACTGGCTCGTTTACTGTAATATCCTAAGTTATTATTTATATAATTTTACAGGCCTTATTTTATATTACCTGAGTATGTACTTTATTCCTATATTGTATCCATGGAAAGCACTAAATTAATGAAAATCTTACAACACTTTACATTATTGCTTCTCCAAACAATATAATTGTCTATTTCTGCCTTATAGATCAAGGTGTTCTTAATCTATTTTGCTTCATTAGCTCTAAGGTTTTATTATAGTATATAGTACTGTATATGGTTTTGTCTCTTAAAGCTTAAATTCTTTAATATTGTATTTTGTCTTAAAACATGGGGTTCTTTTTTTTTTTCTTTCATCTTTAAGGAACTGCATGCTTTGTTCCTTGTTTTGTAGGTTTCCTTTCCTAAGAATAAGAAAGTTGGCTTAACATAAATCAAGACCTATAATCATTAAAACAAACAGCAATCAACTGGTTTTGTAATACTAAAAAATCTAGCTGATATTGCAAATTTACCCTGAACTCACAACACTGTGGACAAAATACTGTGCCAAGCAGAGACTGACACATTAGGAAGACTTGTCAGGGCTTCTGCATCATTAATCTGCACTTTCCCTCTATATCTATACAAAACTTTATCCTTGTATTGCTTTCTGTCTTATCCCACTATGCAATATGCAAAAATCTTTTGCGTGTACAGCATTTCGTGTAATGCATATTTATTTTTCTCTTTCATATATACTTTCTATTACTAAGACTCTGATAATGAAATCCCTTCGTAGTTCTGGATTACTGTTAGCCATTCCTAGTATGGTACCATATACATTATATAGAAGTACTTGCCACCTTAAGACTAGGGAAAAAAATCTAGTATAACTGGAAAATTAATGTCTAATAGTATGTTCCATACTTAGCATTACAAAAGAGACAATTCACTATTATAAAAACAACAATAAAAGGTTTAAGTTTCCAATAAAGAAAATAAAAAAAATACTAATGCTGAAATCATTTTCATTGTATAGTATATAGCATCCATGATGTTAATCAATATTTCTATAAACTGACCAAGTATGAGAAGAGGTAGTCATATTTAGCAAAGTTCCAGTAAGACATTACCATCACCAAGTAATGTTACATAGAATGAAAGACTTTAAAAGTTTTATAAAGGTCTAAGTGTTTGTTATTTATAAACTATTTTATATATAAGTTATATTTACAATTATGTTTTAATACAAAAAATTAGTTAAGATCTACTTTCCAAATCCTACTTAAAACATATGGAGACAATTCAGCAGTTGGTGAGATACTCAGGTTACCTTATTGAAACCCATCCACCTCATCACATATGATTTCTAAGTCTTTGGCCCACACAAATAAATCTGTCACATTATGCATTTTTATCAAACTTTAGACTAAATTATTTAAATTCCATATAAACAGGCTATTCTTTTTTTTTCCACAAACACACTGTAAACAAACTACTTATTGTAGATATTCCAAGGATAATTATAATTTTGGGGGTAAAACTACACTTGTGATTCTTTTCCGAAGATAAAAAAAAAGAAAAAAAAAAACAAGACATAAAACCAGTTTCAGTCCACTTTGAAGCATTTTTTAATTGACTACAGTAAAAGCTGGAAAACCAATGTTTAAAAATTTTAATTACATATTAAGCAGTCAAATGAAAGTTTAATTAATAAATAACCTTTGCCTTTTTAATTTAAAACATAAAGAAGTCATCGAGACTTTATTTCTAACAAAAACATACACAATTTCCATAAAAAAAAGTAATATATTATGGATCCTGACAATAAATTAAAAATTAACTTAAAGTATAATACACTCATGAAGATTTAAGCAATGACAAATACATATTATATATATCAAGACCAGCAGAGACAAATCAAAACAGTTTAAATTAGATTTTTTAATTTGCATGAAATGAAGCTGTCAAGATCCACAACTGCAGATAGGAAAAATGCAGAAATTTCTTACCCTTCACTAGACCCTAGGATACTGTGTAGATACTGGTACCAAGCTAAAAGTCTCACATGACTATCCCCTTACCCTCAAAAATACTCAAATGAGTTTCTTTCTCTTGTATCCTTGTCCAATTGTTATATAAAATTTTCTCTCATGTTACTGATGTATACAAGGACCAAGAAATAAGGAGAGTTCCAGGAAAGTAAGAATAAGCATACTGACCTTGTCATAAAAAAAAAAAAAAAAAAAAAAAAAAAAAAAAAAAAAAAAGATACGAGAATCTTAACTTTAAAAAAATTACAATTACAATTCCAAGAAAGCTTTTCTTTGCATAATTTTTTCCCCAAATTGGAAAAAGTGACCAAATTTTTTTTATAATTATAATAGGCCAGGCTTCATTGAAAAATTAACTTGAACTCCACAAGAAAGTCTTGATTTAGCAAGCCACATGGGTAACTTTCTACAAATGCATTGGTCAGGAATAAAAGAAAAATCCCTTTCAGGACTCTTAAACACAAAAGTGTTCTGTGGTTTAATGACAATGGCAAGAGAGCAAAACTATGAATGGTATGCTTAAAATTAGATATGCTGCCCTAAATGTGTCAATTATAGCTGCAAAATTTGAGAGGAAGTTACAAGTTGCTACCATCACTGACAAAGTTAGAATTGATGTGCAACATATGCAAGAACCCTCTACACTTTGAAAGTGTCAGTCATTGAGTATACGTAGGCAGTATTTATAGCACGAGGGGAAAAAGCATTTAGAGATTCTGCTTGGGTAATCCCACATAGTGGAACACCATCAAACACAGAGCATAAGAAAGGCACATTTTTTGCCTTCATGTAAGTTGATTTGAAGTACAATTCCTATTCATAAGTTCCAGACACTAGGCATAACATGAAAGACTTGTGCCTTTATACAGTGTTTTAGCCTAACCAAGTCTGAGCAAGAGATCTGCTGCATCTAGATTTTACACATTATAATGGAAAATGGTAACATGGTAATTCAACTGTGTCAAGAAGTCTCTCTATTGACCTTGGTGGATGTGGCCAGTGTCTAGAACCCAAGTTTTAGAACAAGCAATAGCATACAACCCATATCATCTACACCATCCTAACTGGGTTATTTACATAACAGGCTGAAAATATCAGCCTCTGTAGAGGCAAGAAAAGTTTAACACCTACATCAATGTACAAAATTCACCGTTAAACAGGCAACACACTGTACATGCTTCACGCAGGAGTGAAGCCACACATCTGGAGGAAGGTTCATCTGTGAATATCAACCATGAAAGATGGTTAAAATTACTTAATGAATAAAATAAAAAAGAAAACAGCAAAATTGTTTCCTCTTAGGCCAACAATCACAGATCTTTCCAAAAAATTATGAAAACTAACAAATCTAAGAATTAAGCAACATAGCTATATTCATCTGTAGAGTTGGGTGTACGTTCAAGGTACTGCTTGTCAATAAGTAGTTCTATACACTTCTTAATCATCGGGATCTGTGGTGCAAACCTTGCTCGAGATTGGCTGATGACCTGTGAGAGAAAATTTAAGCCTTAAACTCCAGTTACAAGGTTATTTATAATAATATTAGTAATAGTACAATAGAACTATCCGCACACTTCCAATATAAGTACAATATTATATTAGGGAACCCGCTGCATTAGGCAGGAATGAGGATGCATATTTTCTCTAAACAAGACTAACCTCTTGAATAAGCATTGTGTGTTTGAGCAGTTTCCGTGCCTTCATTATCCTAACTATTGCTGCTTGAAGGTATAGCTTACGATCCTCTTCAACAGCAGAATGAGTTTGCTCTGCTTCGTGCTGTTGTTCTTTCTGTGGTGCCACACTGATCTTGAATTTGGTCCGCTTGTTACTGTAGTCAGTGTTGAGGCGAACAACTGTGTCACCTTGGAGAGTCTATAGAGTAAAAAGACATACAAGATATGTACAATAAATTAAGAAGGAAGTTTTGAAGTTTGCAGGTCCTGATGGAAATGTCAATGTCCCACAACCAGTTTATTATAGGAAAAGTCTGATGTAGGTACAACCAAAGGTCATAAAACACAGGTTGGTTGGACGACTGAAGCTGAGAACAGTATATTATGAAATGTGATGATATTACTGGCAAGTGTATTGTGGAGTACGGCAATATGTCCCATATGATGGGTCCTCCAGGCTCTCCTACAGATGTTAAATTAGACACATGTGCAACTCTTGGGTATCTTTATTGAGGCATTTACCACCACAGAGCGTTCCTTTCCTGGGCAATGGAAGGCAGGGCCTGATACAGTGTACACCTTCAGTGGCTCTACGAACCCCAACAACAACTTTAGCTGCCTTTCGAGAAGGGCTTTAACTACAAACAGGTAATCATATGCAGGGGCATTGTAAGGGGAGGCGGAGGGATGGAGGCACCCCAGGTGACACCATTTAGGGGGTGACACCACAGAGCCTCTAAAGAAGGTGACACTAATGCCTAAAACTGTGCTGCACCAACATGAGAGAAGAATCCTTCGTTTCTATATAGCCTATTATATATTAACAAAGTACAAATAAGCTTATATAGGGAAAATCATTGATTTTGATGATGTGATAGATGATTTTGCATAACTGAAGGCAAGGAAATGCAAGATTAGATTCACTGAGATGTTACCTGTACCCAAGGTCAAATCGAAACTAGTGTTTCTCATATATTGCAATGTTTTTCTTTATTTTTCAAGTTTTTTTTATTTTGTTTTGGCATTGCTGAAAATGAATAAATGTAGGATCTGTTGGCTGTACTCAAAGTGGTATTTGAGTTTATGTTTCCTCAATATTACTACACTTATTTATTTTATCATTAATAGAGTTGAGAAGTACATATTCTCCTATTCAGTTTATGGTCCTTAATCGTTCTCATTGCTAAACATTTGTCACTGGTCATGCAGTAGCAACATAACTGGAGTTTACCTCTGCCCATCCCCCCACCCTCAAATTTCATGGGGGTGACACCAAAGATGCTGCCCCCAGGTGACACCAGAGATTCCACCCCGGGTGACACCAACTCTAGCAACGCCTCTGATCATATGTAAATGTTAGAAATGCTTTGCTAACTCCCTACCTCAGAATCTGTCAAGAGAAGTTTGCTGTCCAGCAGTGATTGCAGAAACTTGGTAAACTGCTCTTCATTGAGGTGGGTGTGAGTTTGAAGTTCGTTGCATGTAAGGCTATCCACCTGGTGAGAAAAATCTTATATTATCATACATTATAAGCAAGGTAACATTTATGATGGGATTCACAGAAACCTGTTAGCTGTACTGGAGTTCTAGAGGTAAGAAATATAGTACCTGCACTCTGAAGGATGGGTGAGGATGTTGCACTTCAAAGGATGATCTGAAATGTGATGTTAGATGCTTCTGGCAAGACAGCAAATGTGTGTGACTAAATGGGTTTTATGTTTTTTTGGACCACCGTACCTTAGTGGAAGATGGATGATGTGTTTAAAAAGAAATTGTGATATTAATGAACAAAAGCAATCTCAACTTGTATATCAAATTAAAACCTAAAAATGAGAAAAATTACACAAATGTACGTCCTCTCGGTTGTAACAGCTGGTTGAGGATTAGTTTTAATCAGTCATAAGAACAAAATTATTGATCCTCTATTTGGTTGGGAAAAGAATGATCTCAGAAACTGTTTTAATTTTACTGTTTAATCTTTATAAACTGTTTGCACAAAAGCATGTAAAAATGTAAAAGTATTAAATTAGCAATGATGATGACATATATATATATATTCTTTCTTTCAACGCACCAGCCGTATCCCACCAAGGCAGGGTGGCCCAAAGATAAAAACGAAAGTTTCTCTTAAATTTAGTAATTTATACGGGAGAAGGGGTTACTAGCCCCTTGCTCCCCTTGTACATGTACTTGTAGTAAATAAAGATATTATTATTATTCTACATGGATTTTTTACGTATTGTTTTTGTTAAAATTTCTTGAGTTAATGTTTTGTACAAATGTCATCTAGTAATAAAAATTAGCCAATTATAACATACCTGAATAACAGAAATGTTTTGTAATGCATGCAGTAAGAAACAAGTTGGTGCATCATTGGTCAATTCCCATTTTCTGTTCCCTGGTCTTATGTTTCTTCCCCTACATTACAATTTCATATATTACATTGTTGTATGCTATATTTGGCTTATTCTGATTGCTAGATAACAATCCAACTACACCTAACTTCTCCAAAATTAAATATAAAATCTGATGTTCAGAAATGACTTTAAATTTCTCTGTGCCAAATCTGACTATTTACGAACAAACAGAACTATGACTGTTGCTTAGGAGGACAGGCTGAGTGGTGGAGGCTTTATCATCCATGCAAGACAGCCAAGCTTTCCTTCACTCTTAGCAGCAGCTACAGCTAGATAATGTGCTGGTTTAAAAAGGTTGTGTAACTTACCTTCTCATACATGAGCAACATTGCCATCTGGAAGGTGGACATAGTGATGAGGTAAGTTCTTTTGCTGTGGCTCACCTTCAATTCTCCTGCAAATTACCAAAAATTTGATGGACAATGAGGCCTTGTCTGTATGTAAATGCTAATATTGAATGGCACTGTTCAAATTAATTACACTATAGTTTGAATGGCATAATCTGTAGCATTACATCAAAAAATTACAAACTTCTTAAGCTGTATTACCTTCAAAGACATTTAACTATGCTATAGGTAAATGTTAAAATATTCCTGATTAAACTTTGCTTTAACCGTTTTCTTTTTACATGAGCTTAAATTTTTGTTTAAAAAATGCTCTACATTTTACTTCTGTGAAACATGAGCTGCGTGTGTAAGATATTCTGTGGCAGCAGGAAAAGTGAAATGAGTACAGTAATTTATTATTTAAGATAGCAGTTATACACCAAAGTTTAGGAACAAATGAAATCAATAATGGTGCATAATCAAAGGGCAAGAAGTAAATAAATATACATTGTACCCAATAATTATGTAGCACTTCAGTGATACAGTAAATCTTCCCACAACTTCATGGGTTATGTTCCTGACAGTCAGTATGTTATGTAAAGTGAAGAAAATATTTTTGAAAATATTGTTATACTTTACATATTTTCAAATTTGGAAATCAAATTTGTACAAAGTAAAAATTACTAATGTAAAACTTACCTATGACATGTACTACCAAAATTTTATATTACTTATTTTTTCTGAATCACACTACAACAAAATTGTATTATGTGAAAGTACATTGCAAAAGGGTTAACTGTATAAAATAAAAAATCCATACTTCTTTCTTTTTTTTTCAACAAACTGGCTGTATCCTACCAAGGCAGGGTGCCCAAAAAGGAAAAACAAAGGTTTCTCTTTTTAACTTTAGTAATATATGATGAATTATATCTTACCTTGACATAAGTGATGTAGCCATGTTAACTTCCTACCATTAAAATGCTTGTGATAAAAACTTTCAAACTGAAAAAAGTGAGAAACATTAACACGTGCAATTAACTTTGAAAAGAAATATAACTTCCTATCAAACTACTATACACTTCTGTCCTATACATTTTAACTACCTCTTGAATAAATATTTTGCTTACTAATCCACTCTCGACTATCTAGTCACAATTAAAGGTTGTCTGAGTGTTGTCTCAATATAGACCATAGGGTCTCTTTTTGCTATCTACAGTACCTACACACAAATAACCTGCATGTAGAAGAAGAAAATTCTGACGATATTTCGGTCCAACTTGAACCATTAATGGTTCCAGTCGCAGTATTGTACCTTTTTATTCTATAAAGAACAGTAACTTTTCCATATACTCCAATGTACTGGAATTTTTTTTTAACACACTGGGCATCACACACCAAGGCAGAGTGACCCGAACAAGAAACACTTTCAACATCATTCACACTCACTGTCCAACCATAATATGTAATATACAGATTTAAAAGTACATATAAAGAAATAAGCATTAAAATCAGAAATGAACAAACATGAGGAAAATATTATTAGGAAACTCTACTGTCACTAAGAGGAAGATGTGAGAGACTTGTCATCTCCCCAGCTTCCATTTTTCCATTTTCTATTGCTTTTATTTCTTGCATGTGTGGATTAAGAAAATGTGGAGATTCACAAAGTGATTTACTGCTAACACAAACTGGTATAATACACTAACGTGAGTTTTAACCCTTTGGGGGTTTCGGACGTACTAGTACGTCTTACGACCCAGGGTTTTTGACGTACTAGTACGCCTAAATTCTAGCGCCCTCAAATCTAGTGAGAAAGCTGGTAGGCCTACATATGAAAGAATGGGTCTATGTGGTCAGTGTGCGCAGTATAAAAAAAATCCTGCAGCACACAGTGCGTAATGAGAAAAAAAAACTTTGATCGTGTTTTTGGATTAAAACAGCGACTTTGCACTGTATTTTCGTATGGTATTTATTGTTGTATTCTAGTTTTCTTGGTCTCATTTTATAGAATGGAAGACATATTACAGAGACCGGTAAGCCAGCGGAAGGCCTCGGTCAGATGACCAAAAGCTCCAAAGGTGGGTCATCATCTGACTAAGACCCGCGTCAGGAAACATTTGTCCTGTTTCCTGACGAACCTTACCTAATCTAACCAAAGTTCATAAGTAAACAAATCATGCCAAGCGTCCAATACACATCAACTGGTGAGTCTAATATTCTTTCACAAGTGTGCTGATGTTATTTATACCATTTCTACACTAATGCAGTAGTCTGCATAACAGTAAATCTTATTTTTTTTGTAAGAATAAAAATTCAAAGTGGAAAGCCAAAGAAATATAAGAGGGGCCTGGGGATGTGACTAACGAACAGAGAACTTGTTATTTTAGTGCCAGGAATGTCTTTCTTGTTTATTCTGGACCCTATTCGGAAATTGGCATCTTTTGAAATTTGTGTGAAATTGGCAAAATTGCTAAATTCTGACCACTTTACTGGATAGTTGAAATCGGTAAATGGGTGGTTTCTTGTACTCATTCGATAGAGAAAAAGGAGCTCTAGCGAAATAGTTATGATTTTTGTTGACTAGTACACTGGAATTGGCCGAAAATAGGGTTCAAAGTGGGCAAAATCGCCGATGCGTAAACATCGTCGAGAATGCTAACTTCGCGAGACCATAATTCCGTAAGTTTTCATCAAATTTCATACTTTTGGTGTCATTATGATCGGGAAGATTCTCTATCTTTTCATAAGAAAAAATAATTTTTTTTTTGTTTTGAAATTTGGCTGACCCTGAGAACGTCTCTGAGAGGACCTGTCGACCCCCAAAGGGTTAAAGGTCAACTTATAAAGGGCCTACTTTTCTAATGGCTTGCCTGCTATTATATCCACATAAAAAATTACAATACTGTATACATTTTCTATTACATATAGCCTGAGAAACAATTGTTTTTTATATAGCTAATAGACATTCAAAACTTAAAAATATCTAATGCAGAACATTTTACTGTTTCTTTTCCACACACATTTACTTAATGAACTATTACACATAGATCTCATGGTACTTATATTTTACATCTAACCATACCTTATATCTTTCTTTTGGTGCCTTTCCTTTCTTTATGAATACAGTACATTATCATATAATTAAGACGAATTTACTCTAGGTCTGTGCCATTTCAAATACACCCAATCCAACTTTCAATACAAACAAATTCTTGCACATTCAATAATCAATGCATGTTTCTACAAGATCCTCTTACAAAATCTAAGTCTTAAGTAATTTTAGTAGATTTTAATAAGTCATGTGCATTATTTAGTTTCAAAATATTAACTGCCTATTTGAGTTTGTGAGGAGAGGAGGCAAAAACCCTAGCTCTTGGGTCCTGTCTTTCAATTTTGGACCAACTTATACCTTTGAGCCTTGTCATACCTATTTTTAACCCCCCTGTAAGTGAGCAACTTACAGTTTGTACAGACTTTTCCAATTCCTGGGGCACAGCAAATGGTGTAATACTCGTCTGTCCCAGAGGCCACGCACCCGCCTGTAGAAATAATGATTCATCAACTTTAAGAAACCAATGTTAATAATAAAGAGTGCACAAATTTGAATTGGAATTTTAAAGTGTTCCCTTACGCTATTACAAATATAGATTACTGGATGGGTTGTGGCACATGTTTTTTAACGTGATACTAAAAAAAAAAAAAAACATACATACCTTTCTATTTTGACATACGTGACTATATTTGAGACATCATTTAATCTCACAGCCTGAACTGAGATTATTCTTATATGTACTGCAGTGCTCTTAAACATGTGTTTATGGCATATTTGCTGGAGAATGCATTTTCTTAATACACTGGCTGTTTCCCACCGATGTAGAATGACCCGATAAAGAATGCATATACAGTGGTACCTTGATTTATGAGTTTAATACGTTATGTGACCCAGCTCGTAACTCAATCTGCTTGTATATCAAATCAATTTTTCTCATTGAAATTAACTGAAATGTCATTAATCCGTTACAGCAAAATTCCTGGCTCTCGGGAGGCAGGAGAAAATACTTCAATGTAATGCTAATATCAACTCTATGGCTTATTTATTTATCACAATTGATCTACTATGACATAATAAACAATATAAATAACACAGAAACATGATATACATGTATATACGCTAGAATGAACAAAATACGTCATTATGTGACGAGGTCAAAAAAATTATCACTCTGACCATATCTTCTCATTCTTGCCCTTCTGAGATCTTATTATAGGGGAAAACAGCATGTTTCTGAGGCAAACTGCATTAGATCACTAGTTTCATAAGGAAAACACTGAAACAAAAGCGATTTTCTTGGAATTTTTTTCACCTGAGTCATAGACTGGCCTATGTTTTGGGTGAATATCTCGGAAGTAAATGAGCACAAATGCCTCGTGCCTTCTCTGCGAGAAGGTACAAGGCACGAAGTACATAGTACGCTTGTACTGCCTCGCCAAGTCAAATATACACATACCTTGCTCGTGTTTTTCTACGATTTCATGCTTTATTCAATGGACATCATCCTCCTCTTCTCAGCACTGTCCTTTGCACTTACACTTTCTTAGGACCCATGGTTAGAAAAAAGAAATTTGGCAAAATAACTGCACAAAACACAAACACAACACAAGAGATGCTTCCACGGCGAGGTAACCATGTGCACTGTTTTGGTGTTTGCTGTACCAGTGGCGGCGTATCTGAAGCTCACTTGTAACTCGGATTTTGGCTCTCAATTCAAACCAAAAAATCGACCGAGCGACGGCTCGTAACTCGGAAAATTCATAAGTTGGGGCACTCGTAAGTCAAGGTACCACTGTATGTGCTATAATATACAGCAATGGGCTGTATATTATAGCACATATGGGCTCTGAAAATAATGGGAAAACTCTGACGTATAAATTGCATGTCTAACTCATTAATATCAGTGTTTATTGAATATAACTATAAACTGTATGTACAGCACTATTTTAGATATACAGCAGACTATCCTAGTGATTTTTTTTGGCTGTTTTTAACATTTTTCTGATTTAACAGACACTTGAACAATCCCCCTTATTAGTCCATTATATGGAGGATTTACTGCATTACCATTTTCATTTTTTCCTCCAAAGTTTAACATCCTCATCCATCTTTAGCAATGCAAGCTCAGTACTTCCAACCTCTGCCTGTCTAATTGGTTCTTGTAAATCCCATCATGTATGCTACCATACTCACATTACAATAACATATCACAGTTTACCGCAGTTGTTGACCGCCTACTGTATAAACTATATAAATCCTTTAACCATCTTTTCCTATATTTTCTAAGCAGGTGCAACTCCATCCTATTATAATTATGATGACTGAAGATAATGGTAATAACTCTGGTGTGGCATTTTGATGATATTATTATTGATAGTAATGAGGTATAGATAAAATGGAATAAAACCAATACCTATGTGAAAAGGCATCTTGCTACAGCAAACCATGGGAACTAACTCATAACTGCCTGATGAAAAATAAATTATATCCATAAAATAGCTATACTGTACAGTATACATAAAATACTCTTACCTGAAGAACATTAATAGAGAAATTGATACCCAATTCAATGTTTTTCGCTTTGAGAAAATCATTAAATTTATGATTAAGGTCCGAGCTGACGGACATATCGGTGAACATGCGATGGAGTTTGCTGGTGTATTCATATCCACACGCTTGCTGTTAAAGGAGAAAATGAACACTTTAAAGATTGTGAACTAAGTCTGACATGTTTAGAAAAATATTCTACATGATGATGCAGACTGTTACAAAATTAAAAGAATTACTCATTCAGTTTTGATTCAACAAGTCATTTACAATGTGATAGTGCAGTCTCTGGGAAAAAAAAAAAATGTTGGACTGAAATGCAAATAAAATGTTTGTTGCTGATTATATACCAAACAGAAAGGATTAAAATGCAATGAAAGGAAAAGGTCAGATGACCAGATACTGATGTTTTGTATTTTCTAAGTTCCTTGGTAAACCTCCCAAAACTTTTTTTGTGTATTTTATGCATCCTTGTCCAAACACTTTCTGCAGCAATTTTTTTTTTTTTGACTGTCAATGCAGTATTGCATAAAATGGTATCGTATAAATACAATATTGTAAAAAACAGTATCGCATAAAATACATTAATGTATATAATATTGTTTCATATAACTACAATAGCTAGAGGGTAAAGATATCTTAAAGCATCTGCTCATCATTTACAATACCACTTACGCTTTAAAAGAGCATCATTTAATTTATAAATACATGAGCAGCATTTAATAGTGTTTAGTGATTTGCTAGAAAAAAAAATTCCTCTTACCAGTTGCATAAGGAGAACAGGAACTAAACTGGCAAAGCATGTCTGCTTTGGACAGTACAGTGTTGATCTCAAAAATGAGGTTCCCAGAGTGGTCACCAGTATTTCTTACACAATGTTGTGAAATTCTCATTTCACTCTCACCTATGTGAGATCAAGGTTTGAAATAAAAAAAATGACCTTAAAGAACAAAGAGGCACAATACCATGACTGGAACAATACACAAATAACCCGTATATAGGAGAAAAACTTACGAGATTCCGGTCCTACTTGGACCATTAACTAAGTCATACATCATGAGTCTCTTTCTCCTATGTGCAGGTTATTTGTGTAAGACTGACCTTCAATCTATTGATCATGGCCTCTTCTGAATCCATAGACTGACTCTGCTGCTGTATCAGCCGTTTCGCTAGCATTCGTGCATAGAACTTTTGATATACATCCTTATCATCGATGTACTTGAATATAGTGATGCTATGACCCAGCTTATCGTCTACTTCACTTTCATTTAGGCCTTTGGTTGATTTCTTGAGAAGAGTATCACAGTATCTGTAACAACCAAACAATGCATAATTATTATCAAGAATGCCTATGTAAGTATTTGGTATTTTATATTAAGTCAACTCCTAGTTCGTTCAATAGCTGTCTAGCTAGAAATGTACAGTCATCATATTTCATATGACCCTTCAAACTGCAACACTCGAATGCTTAACCTTCAGAGTGAAGGCACAGTGCTTCTGACCTCCAGGACTCAAGTCCACTTTATGAGTTAAGACTGAAGGTCCTTTCATGATCCTGTCAAGCTAAAAAAAAAAAAATTAATATTCTTTAAAACACTGCATGCCATTACTGCTGTCTACTCTATTATCCCTGTATTATATTCGCACTTTTACTAAACAGCTTACCTTGCAAGGAGTTCTGGAGATCGACAAATGACTTTTGTGGCTCCTCTATGATTGACAACACTTTCAAAGGCTTTATCAAGAGCCCCAACAAACTGCTGATCATTATGAAAAACATCAATTATCATAGTACGGTATTTCTTGTGCACTTCTAAAAGGCTCTCAACGAACTGTGCAGGAATCTGAAAATTTTAAATTGAGAAAGTGGTTAATTCCTGTTGCATATTATTGCTTAATCATCATTTGTTGCAAGTAAATGTATGCCCAATTTTTCCAAAGGTACAATAATAAAAAATTACACTACTGTAACAAAAAACTAATTATTTCTTTAAGTAAATTGGAAGATTCCAAACTGATGTTACACACATTATCTCCTTTGAGATTGGTTATGGCTTGAAGACCTTGCTGCTTTATGTGATCCTTAAGGTGGTGAACAAGCTGCATTAATCCACTTGGTACTGGTCGTAATAACGTATACATATTGGAGAGGTCTCTAGTACGCTCAGAATTTACCATAGCTCCAGTCTCGGCATGGACAGTGGACAGGTGATCAGCAACCATCCGATCCTGGACCTCTTTCACCACCTTTTGATGCGAACTGCATAATAAAATATGTCATTAAAAAAATGCATAATGGATACATGAATATGATAATGGCATACAATACTGACAAGTTGATAAGTAAGACACATTTGCAACAGTTAGGTATCTTTATTCCTAGGTGCAGAGGAAGCAGCATTGCTTCTGCTGCTTCCTCTGTATTAAACTCCAGATTCCAGTTCAAATTATTTATTTTATTATTATTAACACACTGGCCGATTCCCACCAAGGCAGGGTGGCCCGAAAAAGAAAAACTTTCACCATCATTCACTCCATCACTGTCTTGCCAGAAGGGTGCTTTACACTACAGTTTAAACTGCAACATTAACACCCCTCCTTCAGAGTGCAGGCACTGTACTTCCCATCTCCAGGACTCAAGTCTGGCCTGCTGGTTTCCCTGAATCCCTTCATAAATGTTACTTTGCTCACACTCCAACAGCACGTCAAGTATTAAAAACCATTTGTCTCCATTCACTCCTATCAAACACGCTCACGCATGCCCGCTGGAAGTCCAAGCCCCTCGCACACAAAACCTCCTTTACCCCCCTCCCTCCAACCTTTCCTAGGCCGACCCCTACCCGGCCTTCCTTCCACTACAGACTGATACACTCTTGAAGTCATTCTGTTTTGCTCCATTCTCTCTACATGTTCAAACCACCTCAACAACCCTTCCTCAGCCCTCTGGATAACAATTTTGGTAATCTCACACCTCCTCCTAACTTCCAAATTACGAATTCTCTGCATTATATTCACACCACACATTGCTCTCAGACATGACATCTCCACTGCCTCCAGCCTTCTCCTCGCTGCAACATTCATCACCCATGCTTCACACCCATATAAGAGCATTGGTAAAACTATACTCTCATACATTCCCCTCTTTGCCTCAAAGGACAAAGTTCTTTGTCTCCACATGTACTAAAAAAGAGAAGAAGAAAAACAGTTCAAATTCCTTAAGTAAAAAGATATAGTATTACAGAACTTAAAATTTACCATGAAAAGCAGCATGGTCATATCTGAAGCATAAAGTTTTCAGTTGGCCTAAGAATTCAGTTGATTGAGGTAAGGATTACTGATTATCCACTGTACATGTGTTTAGAGTGCAGGGACTAAACACACATACAGCTAACACAGATCTGAAAATTTAAATTATATTTCTTAAAATAACTTTAGAGAGGCCTCACCTAGGGGGAAGGAATTTGGTTGCTCGCAGTTCCTCCTCAGCTAATCTGGCTATGACACGTTCCATATACTGAGACACATTACACACCTGAAGCTGGGAAGAGGCTTCCTTACGATAAAATGAACCAGTTTCACTTAATAACTCCCCTTCAAAAACTGTTTCGTACAGCTGTATAATGAGAAAGGAAAGAAAATGTTAATAAAACTGTATATTATAGAAATCTTAATGTTAATTACTTTTTTACAATTACAGTGGAACCTTGACTTATGAGTGCCCCAATATACGAGTTTTTCGAGATACGAGCCGTCACTTGGTCGAATTTTTGCTCTGAGTTACAAGTCAAAATCTGAGTTACACGCGAGCTTCCCCCTCAAGGGAGGTTCCTTGACACTGGTGAGGGGCTCTTGATCTAGGGAATTGGATCTGTGCTCCAGTTCCCCAAATTAGGCCTGAATACCTTTCATCCCCTCCCCCCCACAGGCACTGTATAATCCTATGGGTTTAGCACTTCCCTATTATAATAATAATAATGAGCGAGCTTTAGAACGCCGACACTAGTTGGCGCAGCGAATGCCACAACATCCACTGAGCAGTGCACATGTTTACCTCACCGGGGAAGCATTTTTCGTGTTTTGCTTGCGTTTTATGCAGTTATTTTGCCAAATTTCTGTTTTCTAGTCATGGGTCCTAAGAAAGTAAGTGCAAAGGACAGTGCTGAGAAGAAAAAGATGATAATGTCCATGGAATTAAAGCATGAAATCATAGATAAACACAATCAAGGTGTGCAGGTTGTGGGTTGTAGCATTAAGGGTGTAGCAAGTAAATCAGTGAAAAGTGAAGTAAAAAAAAAAAAAAAATTATAGCAGTAAAGATCAGCGATAAAGTGTAGCATTAAGAGTGTAGCAAGTATGTTAAGCGATTAAGTGATAGAAAAAGGACGGAACAAAATGAACTCCTCCAATGTTTTTGTTGGGGTTTATAGGGCCACTGACAGCATACACCACTCTGCCAGCATCTCTTCTTCAAGGTAAATATGTAAGTACACTTTATAAAACATTCTCTATTATGTTTTTATACAATATTTCTTTTTTTAAATACAATATTTCAGTGTTTTCCTTATGAAACTAGTGATCTAGTGCAGTTAGCCTCACAAACACTCCATTTTCTCTTAAGAGACCTCATATGGGGAAGATATGGTCAGAGTGGGAGCGGGAATGGCCACCATCACTCGTCACATAATGACATTCATTCTAGAGTATATATGTTTCCATGTTATTTACATTGTTTATTATGTCACATTAGATCAATAAGCCATAGAGTTGATATTAGCATTATATTGAAGTATTTTGTCCTGCCTACTGAGAGCAGGAATTCTGCTGGAATGGATTAATGGCATTTCAATTAATTTAAATGAGGAAAATTTATTTGATATACTGTACAAGCAAATTGAGTTATGAGCGAGGTCACGGAACGGATTAAACTCATAAGTCGAGGTTCCACTGTACTTTTTTATTTACACCAAGAGCGTATGCTTAGATGACTTGACTTTTGTATACATTTTGAAAAAAAAAAGTTTTTTTAATGTGCTGGCTTGAGCATCCAGCCTGCTTATGTGAGCATGTCAGAAAAGAGTGGAAGTAGCCAAATGATTTTTCAGTGACTGTACTGTTGGAGTGTGAGCAGGGTAATATTAATGAAGGGATTCAGGGAAATCAGGTTAGCCATGCTCAAGTCCTGGAGTTGGAAAGAGCAGTGCCTGCACTTTGAATGAGGGGTGGGGATGGAAACTGACTATGATGTCAACACACTTCTGGGAAGACGGTGAACGAATGATTGATGGTGAATCCATTTCCTCTTTTGGGTCACTCTGCCTTGGTTGGAGATGGCCAAAGAGGTAAAAGAAAAAGTAAGTTGATAGTTTGAGAAAAATGTAGATTTAATATAGAGAAAATGATGACAGTGGTAATTAATAATGACAAGGAAATCTGATAATGACTGGGTGGTGTTTGAGGCTGAGAGTGGTAGAGAGGCTGTAACAGTGGAAGAGAGGTTGTAATGGTAGCAGGGAGATTGTAACAGTGGCAGAAGAACAGGCTGAAATGGCAGCAGGAGAATAGGCTGTAATGGTGGCAGGGGAGGAGGCTGTAATGGGGGCAGAGAGGCTGTGAAAGTGGAAGGGTAGCAGTTGTGGAGGGTGGCAACAGACAAGAAAGGTTACAGTACAGAGGGTGGTGATAAAGAGTAGAGATGATAATGATATGACCAAAGTAACCTGCATACACACAATTCTTTAGACTATACATCAGACAAGCTATACAATATACATAATGTCCAGTGTTAACATAGCTTAAAATAAACTATTACTTTTTCAATAAATGCTATACCTGCAAAGTAGACTTCTTTTTATACATATTAACATCGACAAAAGAGTGAATAACACCCCGAATAGTTGACGTAGGGGCATCTGTGGTTGCTCCCATGCGATCCTGTTGAATTCCTGAGAGTAATACCCCAACAAGACGTGACTGTAGTGGTGTGATCATCTCTCTCTGCCATATTTCTAACCCAAGTTCACCTGCACCAAAAATATTGGAAAATTATCTTAAAAATTGTCATACAAAAAAAGTAACAAGCTACTAAAGATAGTTTTTGCTTTAATAAACTCAATAAGAGCAGCTAAAAATATTATGGAAGAGGTAGCTACCTAGCAGAATAAACAATTTGACATTATACAGACTGCTACTTAATTGTATTTTATTTGCCTTGGGATTATTCTAAGATGTGAACAAGCAAAATAAGAACCCCGTAGTCTTCACAACTACGGTGCTCTTCACGCCAACTCCAAGGCTGAGAGACCGATTACCTCATCTTTTGAATATAGTTCCTCTGTCTTCCAATTACATATGTCCTTGAATTTGTATTGATAAAGCCACTGGATGGTGAAACGTCTAAAATGAAGATAACCAGATGTCGCACATGCGTCTAATTTTCATCTTGTCAGTATTGTATACCATTCATTTACAATTTAATATCTTTCTTTCTTTCTTTCAACACTTTAATATCTATTCCATATATTTGCAACACAAGCCACACTGCTTCCCTATCAACCTTATCATAAGACTGACAAATTTAATAAGAGCAACAAACTGATCTCTTTCCCCTCATCAAAATCCTGTTTACTTTGGTTTAATGCACACAGGCAATCAAAGTATCCTTTTCAGTTTCATAAGTATCATTCCTCTGCAGCCATACATTGTATTTCTCATACCTTTTTCCATTATAATTCTGCAGTATGATTTATCTAGTATACTTAACAGACTTATATCCCTGTAATTCTTACTCTTTCTTAACCTCTTTATATACAAAGAAACATGTTTTCTGCCATTCCTTAAGTACCTTTTCTCTTACATACAATAAAAATAAACCAACCATATGCCAACTTTTACCTTCACCTGCATTCAACATTTCAGTAATTCCATCCATCCCCACCACCCTTTCCACAATAAACCTGCATTATGTGATTCCTTCAAACTCATTCCTCAAAGGTCCTGAAGAAAGTTCATACAGCCATGCTGTGATTCCTAAGATGGACTGTATAATGCAAGCAACAACATTCTAACTCATCAAGCCATCAACAGGAAGGCCAGGGACCAGCCCACTGAGATGATGATTACTAGGGTTATCTACAGATAAACTTACAGGTAAATCTCATTCCAGCAAATCTCATTTATAATTGTTCTAAATATAATTTCTGCATCCATTTCATCATTCTTACCATTTGTTTAATGACTTTAATAAATTTGTTATGAAATAAGAGTAATAGAAAGAATATACAGTAATGTATCAAACTGTGGATGGTGTTATGAAAACTATGTGAGAAAAAAGGGGTTACTGCACTTTCTCATGCATTACTTCATAATGGTCAAGAACAAACTGCACTTTTTCTCATACATGACTTAATAGTGGTCAAGGAAAGACTGCATTTTCTCTCTCATGCATGACTTAGTAGTGATCAAGGACAGGCATTAATGCTGAATAAAGATTTGTTTCCAATATATGGTTTAGTTGTGAATTATTTCACCCATGGTATCATGACTTTTATTTTATTATAGCTACAGTAGCAGAGGTATATTTGTGGTGGACTCTTGTTTAATGCATTGTGATTAAATACTACTTGTGTGAAACATACTACTACGTACTACTTTCAACAAACTGGCCGAACCCTACCGAGGCAGGGTGACTCAAAAAGAAAAATGAAAGTTTCTCTTTAAATCCAGTAATTTATACAGAAAAAGGGGTTACTAGCCCCTGCTCCCAGTATTTAAGTAGCCTCTTACAACACACATGGCTTACGGAGGAAGAATTCTGGTCCACTTCCCCATGGAGATAAGATGAAATAAACAAGAACCAGTAAGAAAATAAAAGAAAACCCAGAGGGGTGTGTATATATATGGTTGTACATGCATGTGCAGTGTGACCTAAGTGTAAGTAGAAGTAGCCAGATGTACCTGAAACCTTGCATGTTTATGAGACAAAAAATGAGATACCAGCAATCCTACCATCATGTAAAACAATTACAGGCTTTCGTTTTACACTCGCTTGGCAGGACGGTAGTACCTCCCTGGGCAGTTGCTGTCTACCAACCTACTACCTAGGAACATACTACTTATTGTACAATAATATTAACTGTACAATAAGTAATAAGTTGTAAATTAATTCCTTAATTTAAAGCAATAATGAATCTGTGTACATAAGAGAATTCACCACTAAAGGATAGACAAAAATACTCTTCAATATATGGGATATGTAGAAAATATTCAAGAGAGCTTACATAAGTCCCACATCAACATACCTTTACTTCTTTCTTCTTTCAACAAACTGGCCGTATCCCACCAAGGCAGGGTGGCCCAAAGAGAGAAACAAAAATTTCTCTTTTTAAATTTAGTAATTTATACAGGAGAAGGGGTTACTAGCCCCTTGCTCCGGGCATTTTAGTCGCCTCTTACAACACGCATGGCTTACGGAGGAAGAATTCTGTTCCACTTCCCCATGGAGATAAGATGAAATAAACAAGAATAAGAACTAGAAAGAAAATAGAAGAAAACCCAGAAGGGTGTGTATATATGTGCTTGTACATGTATGTGTAGTGTGACCTAAGTGTAAGTAGAAGTAGCAAGACGTACCTGAAATCTTGCATGTTCACGAGACAGAAAAAAGGACACCAGCAATCCTACCATCATGTAAAACAATTATAGGCTCTCATTTTACACTCACTTGGCAGGATGGTAGTACCTCCCTGGGCAGATGCTGTCTACCAACCTACTACCTAGGAACCTACTACTTATTGTACAATAATATTAACTGTACAATAAGTAATAAGTTGTAAATTAATTCCTTAATTTAAAACAATAATGAATCTGTGTACATAAGAGAATTCACCACTAAAGGATAGACAAAAATACTCTTCAATATATGGGATATGTAGAAAATATTCAAGAAAGCTTACGTAAGTCCCCCATCAACATACCTTTACTTTAGTCATTCTTTTCTGGGTGCTCATTACTGCAACTACAGTAGTGAGCTTTGTTATTAAAATATCAAGTATATGAAATACTGATAGCTCATCAAAATTTATTTGTATTTTTTTCTAACCATTCAACTGATTTTCCTCTTGGGAGAATTTGTAATAGGCCAGTTTTATACACTGATAAAAGGAAACTCACCTATTTCTAAAAGTTGTTCAGATACATCCATCTGCATTGTGCCATAAGTAAGATCTGCATCACTAAATTTCTGCTTCTGAATGTGTTGTGAATTTAAATAGCTGAAAAAAAATAGTTATGGTCATTAACATCAAGAAAAAGCAATTTTTTATAGGGTTGAAGACATCAGACAAACTCACTGTTTAAAGTAAAACTAAAACAGAAATATTGTATTCTGCTACAAATTAGTCTCATATGAGTTGCCACATAAGGAAAAATTGACAACTAATAAACAAATTGGAGACATCCAATTTGCACATCCTCAACCTTCATAAAGTCATGACTGACTTGATAAAAATCCAAGGTAAACTAAAGCATAATCTACATTTCATCTCAATTTATGCATTAGCGATGACTTGTTCCAAACAAGTTTGCTTCTTCAATAATGAATTTCAAATACTTTTCTTTTAGAAAAAAAATTAAGCACAAGACAACATGGAGGCTGTGTAAACTTACGAGTAGAGGTTGTTGAGATACTGCGTGCCTTTGCTGAATTGTAACCAGAAATGATGGTATTCTGCCAACAAGTTCTCTTCCCTCTGCTTGCTTACCTACAAAAAGAAATTAATCAATCAAATACTTCATCATATTAAAGTTTCTTTCTTAATAACCGAGTTACAGTAACCTAAAATTATTTAAAATTAAGTGGGTAAGTCTTAATTGCTATACTTCTATAAGAATTATTAGTGGCATCTATAATAATTATTAGTATTTCTGATGTCACTAATAAATGACTTGAATTATTATTATAAGATTATACAGCGCCTGGGGGGGGGGGGAATGTGGAAGGTATTCAGGCTTAATTTGGGGAACTGGAGCACAGATCCAATTCCCTAAATCAAGAGCCCCTCACCAACATCAAGGAACCTTCCCTGAGGGGTAAATGACCTGAAAATACTGTACTATAATGAATTATTGCAGAAAATAATAAATTTCTATCACAATATAGTACCTCCAAAACATTCTTAAGACTGATTTTCAAATGTCAAACTACAACTGGTAAACTATTTAATTTTTTTTTTTAAATATTGCATTACACAAATATGGCACCCAAATTACAAGTGTGTGAGTTCAAAATACTGTACATACCTTAGAATAAAGTTCTCGAACATGATTTTCTAGCTGTTTCTTAGTTTCAGTGTACAGCCTTTCTGCAAGAGGTTCTGGGAAGGCAACGCAGAGGGAATACACGTCAGAGAATCTCTCATTCCAGACAGTGCGCTTAATGGACCCCATTGTCACCACCTGCTGCACAGTCTCCAACAGGCCGCCCCATACTTCATCAAAATTCACCGCACGAGGCTTTAATGACATCCTGTCAGCCTTCAAAAGTTAAAAGAATTAAATGGCAACTATGGTTGTTGATAGTCTAAGAGACAGTATGTGATCCAGTCTAAAAACTTGATCCCTAAACATTTATAAAATGACTTCAAAAGTTATTTAATATACAGGTAAATATCCCATAATAAATAATAATAATAAAAAAAATAATAATCTATTTCTACAAGATCATGATACAACTTATACAGATCTAGTTGACATCAGTGACATATTATATATGTAGAAAGCCCCCGTTATGCAGAGCTTTTCTGGGAATTGGGTTAATTTTGTCTCCAGGATCCAACCCACATGAGCTGGCTAACATCCAGGTACCTACTTACTGCTAGGTGAATAGGGACAGCAAGTGTCTTAAGGAAACATGCCCCAATGTTTTGATCCATACCAGGGACTGAACCATGGACCTCAGTGTGTTGGGTGGTTTTTATTCACAAGTGAGTATTTTCAAACATGGATGTTTCCAAAGGGCATGAAAAACAAATTGTTTCATGGAGAGAGAGGAGAGAGAGAGGGGGGGAAGAGAGGGGAGAGAGAGGAAAGGGAAGAGAGAGGAGAGAAGAGAGAGAGGGGGAAAAAGGGGAAAAGAGAGAGAAAAGAGAAAAAAGGGGAGAAGAGAGAGAAAGAGAGGGGAGGAGAGAAAAGAGGAGAGGAAAGGAGAGAAGAGAGGAGGGGGAGGAAAAAAGAGAGAGAAAAAAGAGAGAGAAAAAAGAGAGAGAGAAAAAAGGGAGAGAGAGAGAAGGAGAGAGGAGAGAGGGGGGAGAGAGGAAGAGAGAGAGGAAAAGAGAAAGAGAGAGAAAGAGAAAAAGGAGAGAGGAAAAAAAGAGAAAGAGAGAGAAAAAAGAGAAAGGAAAGAGAAAGAAGAGAGGAGAGAAGGGAAGAGAGAGAGAGAGGAGGAAAAAGGGAGAGAGAGAAAAGAGAGAGAGGAAAAAGAGAGAAGAAAGAGAGGGAAAGAAGGAGAAAGAGAGGAGAGGGAGAAGAGAGGGGAGAGAGAGGGGGGAGGAGGAGAAGGAGAGAGAGAAGAGAAGAGGGGGGGGGGGGGGAGGAGAGAAAGAGAGGAAGGAGAGAGAGGGGGGAAGAGAGAGAGAAAGAGAGGAAGAAAGAGAGAGAGAAAGAGGAGAGAAGAAAAGGAGAGAGGAAGAGAAGGAGAGAGGAAAGGAGAAGAGAGAGAGAGAGAGAGAGAGAGAGGGGGGGGAGAAGAGAAAAAGAGAGAGAGGGGAAAAAGGAGAGAGAAAGAGGGGAAGAGAAAGAAAGAAAGAGAGAAAAGAGAGAAAGGAGAAAGAAAAAGAGAGAGAGAGAGAGAGAGGGGGAAAAGAGAGAGAGGGGGAAAAAGAGGGGAAAGAGGAGAAAGAAAAAAAAAAAAAAAGGGGGAGAAAAAGAGAGAGAGAGAGAGAGATGAGAGAGAAAAGGGGGAGAGAGGGGGGGAGAGAGAGAGAAAAGAGAAGAAAGAGAGAGAGAGAGAGAAAGAAAGAGAGGAAAGAAAGGAGAGAAAAAGAAGGGGGAAAGAGGAAAGGAAGGAAGAAAGAGAGAGAGAAAAGAGAGGAAAAGAGAGAGAGAAAGAGAGGAGAGGAGAGAGGAGAGAGAGAAAGAAAGAAAGAAGGGGAAAAGGAGAGAAAGAGAGGAAAAGAGAGAGAAAGAGGAGAGAGAAGGAGGAGAGGAGAAAGAGAAAGAGAAAAGAAAAGAGAGAGAAAGAGAGAGAGAAGAAAGGGGAGGAGAAAGAAGAGGAAAAGAGAAAAGGAAGAGAGAGAGAAAAGGGGGAAAAAGAGAAAGGGGAAAAGAGAAAAAGAGAGAGAAAG